TGAAAATTACATAGACTATCCTAAACCTGAAAAGGGTGGCGATCTGATTAATTTCGATTTACCAGATATCTCTGATTCCAAAAGTTCATCAGATGATTCGGATGAGCCTTTATCATCAACTCCCAATAGGGACGAAGATGATAAGATAACTAGGAAACCTGATTCTCATTCTGAATGGAGTAATCCATTAAACTTAACTGGAAAGGAAATCAATATAGATTTAACATTTGATGATGATATTCCGATGGAGGATACAGGACTTGAAAATGATTCTTGGTTTGTGAATGATGTTATTGATGCGACACGAAACGAGCAAAAACGCAGAGATGGGATCATAAAAGAGGCTGAATCAGATCTTTTGATTGATCTTAATAGCCAGGATCAGGAATCAAAATATAATGATAATAATTCTTCGAATTTTTTTGGTACTATCAATAAAGATATCGCAGAATTGAATAATTCATTATATGATTCTGCCGCATATCCCACAATATCGCCGATGAACCATGACTTAATGAATGATTCCATGGATCTTTATTATTTTAATAAAAATGAAAGTAACAACACTTTAATGTCAGTAAGCAATGACAGTCGTTCACATTCATCTCAAGTGAATGGTAATCATAGATACTCGACTGACACTGTTTCGAATCATCGTTCGGAAACCAATGGTTCAATTATGGAAAATATGATGGATGCCAAAGTTACTTCTCAAACTGATGACATAAGATCGAATAGTTCTACGCGTGACATGTCAAATGATCCCCCCGAAACTAACTTAACATCTCCAATTATTACATACGATATTAAAGAAAATTGGTCTACACGTACAGTTGTAGATGATCAAGAAGAAATATCTCTGTCAGCTTTACAATTATCTGATGGCACTTGTAACCCTAACGGAGAAGATAGTAAATTTAGTATATTCGTTGAAACACCATTGTATGGACGTAAAACTTTGGAAATGAGCGTGGTACGTTGACCTAAACATTTTTAATTGATTAGAACATTATTGGCATGTTCCGCTTAGTGACATTTTTGGTGATTTACAAGGACGAAGATGCCGATACCGTTGCTGCTAATTTTTGTCGTACGTGGCAAATGTTAGAATATCAAGAAGTTTTGAAGGGACTTATATTAAAGAAATTAAGAAAAAAATTGCGTCGAAGACAACGATTAGCAAAACAATCAAATAATCAGGATGCGGGGAGTGTATAGAATGAATAACTTTATTAGTTGAGCACCTTGGAAATAAACACGATAAGAAGTGAAACTTCTAAAAAAAAATTAAGTCTTAGCTAGAAATCTTTCAAATTTAAATTAATAGTAATGTTCTTTTGCTTTAAGAAGTATTTTTGCTTTAAAATTGGTACGGTAAAAAAATTAGCGCACTGCAAAAATTGATCGCGAAATATTTGTCTTGATCTCATGGATTGATCACTCATGAGTCTTTTTTTTAATACCCCCTGGCATCTGATATAAATGTATTTTCATAAAGGTATTTGTAATATATTTTATTTTAAATTTTTATGATTATCCAAATCATAATTTAGCTTCAAATATACGCGATATGTACTACTAATATAGTTTTATAGACCAATCATGATAATTCGCAGGTAAATTTGCCTGCTAACTGTAACTATACTTATTGGCAAAACCCGGACAAATCCCAAATCCAAAAAATACAATTGCCTTTTACAAAAAATTAAATCAAAATAATATTTTGCAAATATATTATACTTAGTTATAAAAATATATATCATTTGTTTAAATAAAGATTATTAATAGTTATTAGTTTGGCCAGAGTTTGGGATTTGGGCGTGAACAAACCCAAACTATAATAGTTTTGGATTTGGGCAACAAGGATAACTATAAATAATT